AAGAGATTTTGGTGTGGCCATTCCCCTGGGGGGATTTCTCACTTTTTCTCTTACTGTCTCTGTCTCTCTCCAGTGAGCACACATGCCGTATGGCAAAAGCCTTAAGAAAACAAAAACTAATAAAATAGGTTCAAGGCCAGATCTGTAGTCCATTTACTAAAGGAATTGGATCTCACAGGGCAGACCATGGTTCAAATCCTTGCCCCAGCAGATTGAAAAACATGCCAAGTATGTGTGGTACCTGCACAAAATCCCGACAGGATGGAGAAATGAAGGAGAAGGGATTGTGGTGTAACTACAGTCCATGGGGGGTGTGTGTGTGTGTGATATCTTTCTTTTATCAGGTAAGTGCATGTGCCCTCAGGTAATTAAAAAATAAACATAAATGAATAAATCAAACAAATTCCAATTTTATTTTAAAATATAATTTATTGAATACCATAGTCAATTCAACACATTAAAAAAATGTTTATCTTGTCAGTATTGGCACATGATGAAGACAGTTTAAAGCACTGCTCAATTAACACTTCAAAATTTTTTAAATTTTAAGTCATATTCCATAAAAAAATAAAGCCTAGTAGTGTTATTATAAAAGTATTAATTTACACTAACTTACATATCAAAGTGTTAAAAAAAATCCTATAATCGGAACCAATCATCTAAGAATTAAAAATTCGATTATGTAGTTTTCAGAAAGTTTTCATTTGAACAAAATACAATAGAAGATATAAGACAGTCAAAACTTACCTAATTTATGTTGACTTGTCCTAACAGAAAAACTTTAGACATTAAAAAAAATCCATATTTCAAACAAATAGAAAAGTTTACGCTTTTTATGCCTAATCAAAGAACCACACGATGTCCTTAAATATTCTTTTTTTCATTTGCCTCTTAATTGCCAATAAATTTCACGCCAATTAGCATTCTCAAATACAACGGATGTCCTGAGAATGGAAAAGTTAAACAAGGACATTTATATTTATGATTTTCACTATCATATGGTCATTATGTACCCTGTCAGTGATTCCTTTTTTAACTCTGAAAATTCAGTAAGCTAACACAAGCACTATTAGGTTGTTGGGAAAGTCATGACACATTTTTGCACAGGAAAGCATCAAAAAATACATTATTTCCCCCGCAACCTGATACAATAGAGAACCAAATTCCTAAAGACTAATTTGATCCAAATTTATAAATTTACAGAGTATCTTTCTTCCAGGAAGCATAAAGCAATTTATATTCAGTTTATTTTATTTGCATTAACCTTACCCAATCCTCATTAGAATTATCCTCTGAGGTAAACAGGACAATGAAAAAAATTTTTTAAACTGTAGAACTGTTCATTTGAAATCATCTCGAATAAATTAAACCCTTTTCCTCGTGAGTAGGAAATATAAAGCTTTTCAAATCAGAACATTCCACTAGTCTGAAATACAGTTCCGGTGTTTTTAAAGTTTCATTTGCTGACACAAAGCTGAAATTTTAGAGACCAAGTTTAAATAAATTAGTTCAAATACTTTCTAGTCAGATGTAAAAATAATTTTTTGCGTACACCTAAAACAGAAATTGAAAGGGCAAAGGAAACTGGAAAATTCATTTGTATTCATTATATATGTACCATCTAACTCAAATTTCTATGCACACGTAATTAAAATGTATGAATGCCAGTAGCAGATGGGTTAAAATTCTCATCCTTCAAAAGAGAAATAAACTGTGGACTCTAGTGACAAGGAATTGTTAATCTAAGAAAACTTACAAGCTAAACTAAAATACAGTGTATTAGATATCAAGATCTTTCCCCAAAAGCCTCATATTTATTTTTGTTGAACTAAATTGAGGTAAATGTAACTATGAGGTTTTTGGAAAAGTCATGATGCATTTTTACAGAGAAAAACATAGAAAAATACATCATGACTTTCCTGACAACCTAATACACTACAATTTGAGATAGTGATTTTATTTATAATCCGTAAAAATGTTGAGAGGGACTGTCTTTCTTTTTATTTTTTTGTTTTGGAGACATTTTTGCTATAGGGCACGTGTGCTTGCCAGAAAGACACAAAAAGACAGAAAGTCAGAAATCACCCCTGAGGGTGGATGGCCATGCCGCAATCCCTTCTCCATTCTCTTCTCGGGATCTTGGGCATGCACGCACACGCACCCAGTGAGTTTAAGCCGCCAGGTCTGGGACTCGAATCATGGTCAACTACGTGGGAGTCCAGCGACATAGCCGTTATGCTAACTGCTGTTTCCCACAGTTTTTTGAGTTATTTTATTTTAACTTTACTTATCATTATTATTATTATTATTTTCCAGCTTCATCAGACACAGAGAGGGAAAGTGAGAAAGCAAGCAACCAGATCCAGGACTTGAACCATGGTTGGCCACGTGGACGTCCAGTGCCGCCAATCACCACGCCATCTGTCAGCCCCAAAACACAGCTTTTTAAAGCCAAATTTTCATCTCACCCATCTTTTATTCATTTTGGTTTCCAAAATAAAATATTCCTTTAAACATTTTTTAGTTAATTTGCAAGAAGGACTGCTTAAGTATAATATAAAACTAATATTTAAGATGGAAAAACAAAAATTTCATTTTATTTATTTATTTTTATCAATAAGAATTTAATAGCAAACTATCAATAGAACAAGGTCTACCTCCTTGAGAACTAATGGTTGGCTAAAGTAGAATTTGTATTAAGTAACTCAGATTTCAGGTCTCTAAATGTACTACTTAGTATGCTATTCAGGAGCAAAATCTAGATTAAGAAATTAAAATATTAACTACTAGGATCAGTGGGTGGTGTGGTTGTTGAGGCACTAGATCCCACATGGCCAACTCAATAGTTTGAATCCCAGACCTGGTAGCCTGAAAACACTCCGGGCGTGTGTGCATGCATGCCCAAAACCCGAGAGGAGAACGAGGAGAAGGGATTGCTGTGTAATTGTCCCCTCCCAACCCAGTGATTTCTCACCCCCTCGCTTTCCCAAGAGTGCACATGCCCTGTGGCAAAAACTCGAAAACAAACCAAAGAAAAAATTTAACCACTACTCCAATTATACAAAACCAAATTATTCTGAGAAATTATCTTATTTCAATGTAGTTTAAAAATAAAAATAAAAATCCCAGCAACTTCAATGTTCTTCAGAAAAAATATGGCTGAAGCTTTTGAATGTCATAAACCTGGGATGAGAGTGCAGATAATTTTACTAAAAAAGCTGTGTTCTGGCAAACATTTTATTGATATTATTAATAAAAATATAGTTGGAGTTTTAAAATGGCACTTAATCTGTTCTTTTCTCTATCAGAGTTTGCCAAATAAATTAGATTCCTTGGAAAAAATTCAAACTTGATAAAATGAAGGTCAAATTAAGATTAACCCTTACTTGTCAGATAAGCCATTTGCCATAAACAAAAGAAACCAGAAGTGTACTATTAAGTGGAAAAAAGGGCTGACTGTCAATGGAGAATCTCTATTTGCAATTTACTCAGCAAAAGTTAACAATTAAACAAAAGCATTTAATGCTAACTTTAGTTCAAACATCAAAGGTCTGATCCATTTTAAAGGCATTAGTTTTATCTTTTTTTTTTCTTTTAATAAGTTGAACTGGCCTTATGAAGATCACAGATCTGCTCACATATTTTGTACATTATTTACAGAATAATGCAGAATCCTGCTGCTTTTGCCATCACTTGTTATTTGGAAATTCCTTATAGAAAATGTAATTTGACCTCTGACTCCCAGGAGAATGTTAAAGGCCATATTTGAGATTTGGCAAAGAATGAGAAAAAAATATTTTTGCAAGTTGTAGGTACCAGGGTGACCAATGGTCTAATTTACTTAATTCGTAGATGAGAAAACCAAGATAAAAATTAAACTCTCCCTTATATTCTAATAACGCTGAAACAAACACTCGGTCTTCGGTATTTTGTCTACAACTCTTTCCTGTGAACCACATCTTATATATTATTAATAAGCCAATGTTAATGCTGGTTACCTATGAAAAAAAAGAGTGGGCATCAGGGGAAAAAGAGGTGACAGGTTTATGTGGTTGGGTGGAGATACTGTTGGGAACATAATACTCAAATAATACATTTGATAAGAAAAATAATTTTAAAAACCAAACCTTAACCTTAACAGAACAGAACAGCAATGATCAAAAATACCAGAGCGAACTTGAATATTACTATAGAAACTTAAGCTCTATCATCATGCAAATGGCAGACCACTGAAAATAGATTTCAGTTTTTGTATCCTCTGAATGACAAGTTCTATATATTATGTTTCTTTATACCTGGAAAAATATTCTAGTAAGATATATATGAAATCTAAAGTAATTTAGGTTGTGATATTTATAAAAGGATTGTGTTTTATTAAACTTACACTACAAAAATACACATTTATTATTATTCCCCAATCACACACTGCGAATCTCTGCAGTGATGTAAGGTCTAAATTTTCCCTGTTGAACTGCTTTTTCGCATGTTTTTAAGCACTTAATTCTTTTTTTTTTTTTTGGAGAGATTTTCGCTATAGGGCGCGTGCGCTCGCCAGACAGAGACAGACATAGAGACAGAAAGCGAGAAATCACCCCCCAGGGGGTATGGTCACGCCGCAATCCCTTCTCCTCCATTCTCCTCTGGGGATGTTGGGCACGCACGCACACGCATGAGTTTTAAGCCACCGGGTCCGGGACGTGAACCACGGTCGACTACGTGGGAGTCCAGCGACATAGCCATTACACTAACTGCTGGTTCCCAAGCACTTAATTCTATAGAGCAGATAATATTTGCAAAATTCTTCAACAGAAAAATCTGTTTAGAAACTCACTTGGACAGTAATACTGGTATCTGTCATTAGGGTTGAAAGAGATTCTAGTGAGCAAAATACAGGGTTGGGTAAAGGCATTTCTTATGGAAAATACACTGTATATGATATATCTTAGAAATTACACTGACCATACACTTTTATTTCATGTAAAGGCACGACTTTAATATAATTAAAAGCAAATTCATTTTAATTATTTATGATGTAATTGTCAGTACCCACTCATAAAAATATATATGTGCAAGCATATTCTTGAAATCATTTCAGATTGTCAATTCAAAAGTTGATTTAAAAAGTCAAACTCTACTAGCAGAAAATCAGTGACATCACAGGTCCACATAATATTACTGTTGGACAGTCTGTTCACCAGCAGTCGCAGGGTTCTCTTCGTTTGTTGCACAGTCCAGATGGTCCATCATCTAGGCATAAATAAAAGGAGTGGGAGAATGCAAAGTTCAACTCACCTTCAGAATCAACTCATCGAGCAAAAAGATTCCCAGTTAAAACAAAAGACACAGACTGGTCCATGTAACTGAATACTCCTTTTGGATCACTGTTCTGGTCCATCTCTACCAAAGAAATATTTGGGGGCCATACAGATCCTTTCAGGAAGCCTAATCATGTGACTCAGGGTCAAAATTCGGCAACTGCTTTCTCTAGATTCCATTACCTTCATTTTCCACTATGAACACTGCCCTTTACAGCAGTGGAGACTCCATCACAAAAGCAAGATAATTCTCACACTTATTCCAGGACACTGTTTCAGGCTGTGTCACTTACAGAAGTGGAAAAATTAAAAATGGACCCCAGAGTCACTGTGAGAATATCTGCTGTCTCTGGAACGATGTAACCTTAAGGACACCTGGAACTGACCTTAAAATAATTTTTTTTTTTGGGGGGGGGAGAGGTTTTTGCTATAGGGTGCGTGCACTCGCCAGAAAGATGGAGAGAGACAGAGAGACAACGAGAAATCACCCCCCAAGGGGGATGGCCACGCCACAATCCCTTCTCCTCCGTTCTCCTCTCAGGATCTTGGGTACACATGCACACGCGCCTGGCATGAGTTTAAACCATCACCGGGGCCGGGACTCGAACTGTGGTCGACTACATGGGAGTCCAGCAACATAGCCATTACGGCTATGGCCCCCTGACCTTAACATAACTTAAGAATGGTATCTCAACTTTTGTACACATTACATATCAAACATTTCTATTATAAAAAAACAAACCCGAGGACACTTAAAAACCAAATGACATAAACAAAATCAAGAACACTTTTGCGGGATCAGCAGACTGGTTGCTGAACTCCCGTGTAGTTGACCACTGTTCAAATCCCAGACCTGGCAGCTTAAACTCATGGTGTGTACGTGCATTCCTAAGATCCCAAGAGGAGAATGGAAGAGAAGGAACTGTGACACGGCCATTCCCTGGGGGTAATTTCTCGCTTTCTGTCTGTCTTTCTGTCTCTCTGGCGAGCACACTTGCGCTATAGCAAAACTCTCTCTTAAAAAAAAAAAAGTGTGTGTGTTTTTTTTTTTTTTTGCTGTAGACTATTTTGGAGGAGCTACCAAGTAATCTTTTCTCAAATGGCCATTTTGGCTCTTCTCATGTTCTCATAAAATTATTTTTTATATTTGGAAATGAACGAAAAAGACACTGCCCAAATGCTTTCAGTGTTTTTATTTTGTTCTTTGGATAAATTATTGAAAAATGGAAGAGTGGGCCAGCAGGTGACATGGCAGTTAAGGAGCTGGATTCCCACATGTCCCACTGTGGTTCGAGTCCCAGACCCAGTGGCTTGAAAAACTGCAGCAAATAAATGCTTAAAAAAATGAAAAACAGAAACAAACAAAAAACCTCTTTAGGTCTTTAACAAAGACGGCTGAAGATTTTTAGACTAGTGATCCCATTTCAGTACAGTTGGGAGGGGTGTATTCCAGGACTCACAGCGACACCTGGAACCATGGACAGTACTGAGTCCTATTTGTACCGTGAATGTGTTTTACTATATATATGCACACCTGTGATAAAATTTAATACATAAACTATGCACAATAAGGGGTTAATAATATAAAATGGGGCAATTATAACAGCGTACTATAATAAAAGTTATGTGAATTCAGTCTCTCTCAAAATATTGTATTGTCCTCCTTGGGACGTCAGTTGAAGGTGGCTAACAGAAACTATTATATGTAATGGGAAAGTGCACCTGGGCTGGGGGGGAAACTAATGTAAATGTACTTTTATTTCCCCCTTTAAATGAAGAATTAGAAGAAAGGTCAGGAAGATAAATCTCTCTGTTTTTGTAAATTGGTTCTAAAAGTGCGGTGTTTTCTGGAAGCAGGAAGAGGGAGGACTCATTTCCCAGCGCACTGTCTGCACTTGCCAGACAAGAACACAACAGGAGTGGGGCTTCCAGCTGACAACTGCCTGTAGCAAGTCATGCAGACAGTTTCCAAAACCTGCTGACACTTAGTGTCCTCTCAAGTCTCTAATCATTTGTGAGGTCCTCTATTTGCCCAAGGTATTCCCCCAGATTAAGGTAGTTACACGGTCATAGCACTTCTGGGGGAAAATAAATACAATCTAAATAAAGACAGGTAACATTTATTGAGCACGCTGGTACACAAAACATAAGATGATGTTGCTAGACGATTAATTTTAGTCACAATTTATACAAGGAAGGGAAAGGAGAGGCACATTAGACATATTAAGGCCCCTTTTCTTCTGACAATTGAAAAACCTGGGTATAAGAGGCCGGAGCTATGGGCAGAGAGAGCTGAAGTGGTCTGGGCAGAATGAATAGAGAAGCCCTCTTTCGTCCCTCAGACCTGATTGGCTGGCAATGGCAGCCTAATGAAATAATCGCCTACATACTCTGTGTGATAACATACCTCGGATTTCCTAATCCCAGGTACCTTGTTGGCACTGTAATCGAATTCTTTTTAAAATTATTTTTATTTAACTTTATTTATTATTATTATTTTCCAGTTTGATCAGAGAGACACAGAGAAAGAGAGAGGGAAAGTCAGAAAGCAAGCCACCAGTCCAGGACTTGAACCACAGTCGGCCCTGTGGGAATCCAGCGCCTCCAACCACCATACCATCTGCTAGTCCCTGTAATCTAAATTTTAAATACAGAAATACACAAATTAAAAGAACACTTTCAATGTCAACTTATTAAGAAGCAAGCATTTCTACTTCCTGTAGTTTTCTTTACCGATTTTTCAATAAGAACATCATCAGGAACATAAGGAGCAAAACACGAAGTTTAAAAACTTAGTAACAAATCAACATAGATAATAAAATCAATTGGCAAACTTGGTTAAAATTTTCATAGTATTTGTAAATAGGCAAGCTCAGTTTGAAGAGATGGGCTCTGAAACTGGGTCAGTTAACCTGGCATTTTCTGATAGTTCTGTTTATATTGGAACCAATTTCCAGAAACAGTATAATAAAATGCTAATTAAAGGGGGGGTAACTGGAGAGTTGTTGACATTAAAGCAGAGCCATTCTAACTACCTCTGTATTCTGACAGGTCAGTCACAGCTTGTGACTTCTAAAAATAATTGGAAGTACTAAAGGATACTTAACAGAGACAAACTCACCGCTTACTGGGTATCAACAAACTGAAAACTTTTTATTTGCTCAGAGTTAAAGAGCCCTTTAGAGATTGCTGGATAAATCTAACTCTGCTGATTTTGAATTAGAAACAAAAAACACCTCTTAAAATGATGATTTTTCTTCATTGTTCTATATGTCAAAGTTATTATAACTCTGATTTGATTTTACTCTCTAGAGAAAAAAAACACCATTATTTATACTACAGTAATTAGGACAAAGATTTCAAATGAAAGCAAACAAATGGAAGTGAGTATTCTAGCTCTTGAAACATTTGAAAAAAAAATTCATAAGTAATATGGTATAATTAGCTTTGGACCTACAGAAAATAATTTACAATTAGGATTTCCAAATGAGTATTACTTTAGTTAAAATACTATAAAAAGTTACTTCTTCTGATCAGCAATATTCACAAAAAGTGTTCAGAGACTCCCAAGCAAAACACTGAAGTATTTCTATGAAGTCTTCAAGTTATGGCAACAAATGATATAATTTACTCACTGAGATAGCATAAAAAGACTATTATTAGAGATACTCTTGAC